GAAGCTTTTCCCGATTCCGTTCAATGGCAGCTCCCAAAGTCCTGACACGCACAACGTGACTCCTGGCCCAAACAACAATCTTTCCCGAGGAGCCGGGGATGGCAGCGCTCCAGAGATGATTTATTATTTTCCTTACTTTGCAAACTGCTCTTGGTGTGCGTGCAGGAGGGTGAATGAAGGTTACTACCACCCGAGTGGTTTTGCCGCGCAGAAATCGGAGCGCTGCTCTGGCGGCCAGCTCGGGGCTCAGCCCAGCTGGCAGCGCTTGGCACCAGGGTCCCCACGTGCCAGGCCCTGCTCACACTCCGTGCCCTCTCCTGGCCACACTGAACACCAGTAAGGAGACAAAACCCAAGAAATAAGCAGAAACAGACTGATTCTTTCAGGGCGGTTGCTCAGGCACCCGTTTGCTCGTTTCCCTCTGATCCACATTTGGCAAAGCTGCGCCAAGACAAACCAGAACAGACCCTACCCCCAAATCCCTGCCCCCTACACACCCAGCTAATCAACCCCCTCAGGAATTCCAGCTCTTGCTCAATCAGGCTGCTGACATAACCAGGCCAGCAGGGCTGTTTAATCGACTTTCCCGCGTTAACCTCGTTCCTTAAATGAATTCTGCAGACAGGTCTGTGTTGTCCAAGTGCACTGAGCTGTGTCTCAGGCTCACTGACAGAGCAGCCGACCCTGAAAGGGGGATAGTGCTCTCAAAGCCATTATGGTCCAGCAAATTGTGAGGGTGACAGTCAGCCAGAGAGCTTCTCCACAGAGCACCCTGAGGCTGCGGGAGCCCAGCCTTCCCAAAAAGCTGCACCCTGTGTCCCTCAGCACAGACCAAACCCAGCACCAGCCCCTGCTCCCTGCTCTGCTGCTGCTTCCTTGGCAAAAGTGGCCCGAAGGTCTTGGTGACAATTCCCTCCAGGAATATTCCCTCCTTATGGCACCTTCCAGTGCCTGAAGGAGTCATTTGAGTGAGCTAAAATTTAAATGCAGGACAATTTACATGGGCATGGACTGACAGGACAAGGGAAAAGGCTGCCAGAGGGCCGGGCTGGACGGGATTTTGGGAATTAGGGATTGCTCCCTGCGAGGCTGGGCAGCCCTGGCACAGAAGGGCTGTGGCTGCCCCGGATCCCTGGCAGTGCCCAAGGCCAGGCTGGATGGGCTGGGAGCAGCTGGGGCAGGGAAGGTGCCCCTGCCGTGGCACGGAATGGGCTTTGAGGTCCCTCCCCAGCCAGTCCAGGGCTCTCCTCCCTGTCAGCCTGGCTGCCGTGCCCGCAGGGCTGCAGGAGGATGTGGCACTCAGCTTCTCACAGCCACAGTCTGGTGCCTCTGCTGCAGGCCAGACACTGCCCAGGAGTCTGAAACGTACTGCTGCTGTCAGATGGGGTGAAAACAGCTGTAAAAAGCTTGGAAAAACACTTTCTATGGGCAAAACTGGTGTGGGGTTCAGTGGGGTGACAGAGGTTTTGTTTGTGCTGCTCATGAGGGGAAGCAGCAGGACCTGAGCCTTCCCCATCCGTACCGCTCCCTAAAAGTGAATAAAGCTGAATATTGGGTGGGGCTAGGAGCAACCTGGGCTACTGGGAAGTGTCCTGGGGTTGGAATGAGCTGGGCTGTGAGGTCCCTTCCCACCCCAACCATTCTGTGATTCCATGAAAACCAATGCACCGTACCAGGGGAACCAAAGCCACTCCAATGAACACATTTCTGTAGAGATGTAAAGCCAATTGCCTATACAATTAGCATCCGGTGGCTGCACACTGAATTAGCTGAAGGCCAGGACAGGGATGTGGTGTGGGATGGGCCTGGCACCGCTGCTCTGCTGCTCTTGCATCCCGAGCTGGGGGCTCAGAACCTCCTGCAGGACACACGAAGGGTCTGACAAAGGCAGAGCTCAGAGCACTGGGGCTCGTGAGAGGGACGAGAGAGGAGATGGGGAGCTGCTGGCCTCTTGAGAAAAATGTTTCTGCATGAATTGGAGAGCTGATTTTGAATTAATTTTGAATAGTTGTTTCAGTAATTCAGATTGATTTAAGATGCACCCAAGAATAATGCTTTCATTATAAAGCCTCCTGAGCAAAATTTAAATTGTGTTGAATTAAAAACAGCCACTGTTAAACCAGGGCTGATGAGCACAGCAGAGGGATCGGAGATGCAGGGTCAGGATAATTTAATTCCTTTGCTTTGATTCCTGCTCCAGAAAAGCTGCTGTACCTGTTTCCCTGGGTTGTTAACTGCCTAAGGAGCCTGCAACCCATCCTGAATTTCTCTAAACTGATTTGCGTGGCAACCCCACCAAAACCAGTGGTTATTTATTGATGCTGGGCTTCACCTTCAAGAAGAAATGGATTTCTATTGCCTTTTATTTGTGACTCAGTCTGGAAATGCGAGTGTTTCCCAAAGATACCTGGGAATCTGGGAGAGCAGCTGATGCACAGTGCGGTGGGAGGGTTAATGGTCTCCTACTGTTGGCTTTGTTTGCTTCTTTGTTGTTGGCAAACTTTGATTTTGCACAAATGGAGCTTATCTTAGTACCAGGGAAAAAGTTACCCTGCACCTTCCAGATCACTCCTCTAAGGCACTCTGTCAATGCAGTGCTGGGATTCCAGCCTCAGGGAAACCTTCACTTACCTGGGTTTAAACGTATCAGTGGTGAAAACAAAAAAACCCAAACAAACAAAAAAAGATTTTGAGTTAAAAACTGTTGTGCTTCATAGTTTCTTGTTCTAAATGTTGGCTGAATTATTAAGGGTAAAAGGCAGGAGATATTTAGGATCTCTATAAAAGCCCTGAGTGCTGCTGAAATCCAAGCAGTGAAGTGGCCAGCACTGAGGAGGGCAAGTCTGATGGATTGGGGAGCACGTTAGAGACCTTGGCTGCATTTTCTGCAGGAGGAATTGCCAGGACTCTCATTAGTAACAAGATCCTTCCAAACAGATTGAAAAGACTTCTGAAGAGAGATGTATGTGAAATATTGTCTGGAAGTGCCAGTTTGCCAGAACTGGAAGGATTTTTGGGGAGCTGAAGGGGGCCAGGAGGGTTAGCCTTGGATGGTGAACTCTCCCAGAAGGGTTAACCCCCACCTCACACAGGGGGAATCAGGAAGGTGGAAACGACCTAAAAGTCCCAAATCAGTAACAGCAGAAGCCTCCGTTTGATGACTTTGACAGCATTTTATAGGTCCCTTCCAGTGAAGCCTCACAAAGCCATGTTTAAGTGTCTAATTTCTTAAATCCATGTCAGCTCGTTTCCAGCACTTGTTCCTCTGCGATTTCTGTGATTACAACAAATGGAGAACACTCCCTGGGAGCACTGGGTCTGTCCCTGCGTTCAGAAAGGCAGGGAAGGGACCCAAACGGAGCCCAGCCCCGGCGGGAGCAGAGCCCAGCTGCTCTCCAGAACATTCCCACGTCCTGGGGCTGTTCCCAGCCCGCAGAGGCTGGTCCCTGGCCCCAGGGCTCCTGGCACAAGGATGTGACAGCACTCGTGCGGATGGTGCAGGCTGTCACACACGGACGGGGGTGATCTGGAACCAGAGCTGGCCTGGCACACACCCACCCTGTGCAGGGACACGCCAGGGAGCCACTCGGGGCAGGCGTCCCTCTGAACTGATCACACACCGTGGTGGGGACAGGAGGGGGAACTGGCCAGGATGGACCACTCAGACCCTGGAGAGCTGAGCTACAGCCTGGGGCAGGGCTGGGATGCAAAGCCCAGCCTTGATTCCTGAGTTTCACCTTTCCCAGGGGAAGGAACAGCTTTTGCCATAAACTTGCGAACTTTGCTTAGCTATTAAAAAGGAAGAATAAGAGGTCTTTAGGTGACTATGACAAACAGGCTCTACATTTGCACTTAATGAAGAAATTCAGACTTTCAGTTGTCATATGCCCAGATTCGGCACCTTTCTGACAGCTGAATTATGATTTTAATAATTTAAAAGTGCTACTGTGAGCCTGCTCATGTATAATAGGCACAGAGAAGTGTTTAAAATCAAAAGCAGTTTAGAGAAAAAGTAGTCACTACATTACAAGGAGGAGAATTGTCTACATCTGAGTATTAAACTGAGTGTGAACTCTCCAGTGGGAAAACGCTTTGCAAAGTGACTCTAGATTTCCTATGCCGTTGTGATTTGTGGGATGAGGAGATTGCACTCAATCCTGGCTCTGTGTGTGCCCGAAGCAGCAGCCTGCAATGCCCACTTTCCTCTACATAACCTTGTCAGGGTGAGGGTTTGGCCATTCTGCTCTCATAGGTTTTAGTTCAGAGCAGCAGAAGTGCAAATCTATAATCTCAGTCGCAACATCTGTGAGACAGAAATGAAATATAAAGGGGGAAAGAGCCCTCCAGGCTACATTCCCCTAGCTTTGATTTCATTATCTTTGTACCTGTCCATGGGAATGCTTGAAATTCTACTGCAACCGCCACAGCACACTCGGGTCTCAAACTCACAGCTAAACACACACAAGAAGCCCCCATCCTGCCCACTTAAGTAAAACCCAGATCACATCCCGGCCATCACTGAGTATTCCAGTACAGTGACCCACAACATCCACTTGAATTCAGCAAATCTGTAGCTCCTGGCAAGTCAAGGGGAGAAACACCGGCTGACATTGCAACGAGACACAAGAGACACATCAGCAGCTTTGTGTGAGATGCATGGCTGGAGCCAATGTCACAGAGAGCAGAGCTCTCTCCCAGCCCCCTGCGCTCGGGTCAGCTTCTCCCTCCTGCAGGATTGAATCAGACCCTGCTACTCCACCTCTGCTCCTCCTGCACTCGTTTACCGTGCTGCCGAGCATTTGTCAAGTGGGTGTAAGTGCTTTTTCTGCTTTATACAACTGCACACAAATTGCAGAAGTTGCAAGCCAAAGAATAATCCAGCCCCGAACACTTCCAGCCCCTTCTCGAACATGCACCCAGGAAAAGGCTGAGGAGGAGCTGAAGTCAAGCTCCCAGTACATGCTCGCCTGCTGCTCAGGAAAAGGAAAAGTAATACTCACCCCAGTGTTGTCATGGTTACAATAGTGTACCAAAAGGAAGCAGGAATACTGGTGAATTTGCTCGCCGAGGACCCTTTCTCCGCATAAAACATCACAGTTGCAAAGATGATGATTGCCATAGTGAGGGAAAAGAGGAGAAAGCCGAGCTCGGAGGCACAGCTCTTCAAAGTGTAGCCCAAGATTCTCAGGCCTTGGGAATGGCGGGAGAACTTGAAAATCCTGAAAACCCTGAAAACCCTTAGCGTGACAAAGGCTCCGCTGACGTCCTCGTTGTTGGTCATCACCAGGCCGATGTAGTAGGGCATGATGGCCACCACGTCGATGATGCTCATCACGCTGCGGATGAAGCGGTAGCGGCTCGGCGCCGCGAAGAGCCTCAGCAGGTACTCGACGGTGAAGATCATCACGCAGGCCGTGTCGAGGCAGAAGAAAGCCACGGCGTAGCGCTCCCCGCAGGGCAGCTCCTTGCTCCCCGGCACGGTGCCGCAGGGCACGGTCTCCACCACGTTGGTGATCACAGAGACGGCGATAAAGAACCCGGTGACGTAGTAAAAGACTAAGGCTAAGGTGCTGGTGTGGGGGTTCTCGAAGGCTCGCCACATGGTCTGCCGGAAGCTCAGCGAGGGCATGGAGCCCTCCTGGTTGTTCTCCGAGTCGTTGTCATCCATCAGCCGCTCCGCGTTCTCCCGCTTCCTGTCCTTGTACTCTTCGTAGCAGCAGTCCCCGATGATCTCGGGGAGGATCCCGTAGAAGGCGAGCTCTTCGTCGTAGGCAGAGATGCACTCGTACCTGGGGTAGTGCAGCTTGCCAGTTCTGTAAAAATTGAGGATGCACCTGAAGACCTCGGGGTCCCGGTCGAAGAAGTACTCCTTGGTGTCTTCGTTGAAGAAGAACTCCTTCTCCGTGCTGCCCAGGAGAGTGTCCGGGTACCTCTCCAGTGTAGTCCTCCAGGTCTGGAAACGCCTGCCACTCACATTGAGGATGATCAGCTCATCCTGCCTCTTGTTCTTCTCCGTCGGAGCCAGTGGCATGGGACAGTTGGCCACTGGCATCCATCCTATGGCGGCCGCCCTGGCGAAGGGCAGCCACGCCGCCACTCCTGCTGCCATGACGAGCCCGGCCGCGTTACTGGAGACGAGGCTCGGGGTGCTGCTGGGACGGGCTGGGAGTCAGGGCAGTTCCATCTGGAACACAGAGAGAAGAGAACACAGCACACGGTCACGCGGGGCGTCCTGCCCCGCTGGGTGGAAGAGGCACAGACACCAGAATTCCCAACACCGGCTCGCCCTCACCTCCAGGTGAAGAATGATGCCGAACAAGGCACGTGATAATCAGCTCAGCAGGGTTAGGGCATTATTATAGATTGAAACTTTGAATAGCAAATGATTCCTCATTAAAAGCATTTTAAAAGTAGCATAAACACAGTAATTTATATTTGCTTCCTCGCAAACAAGACTAATCCATAATTCCCCAGGTGTAAGCCTCCTGTGCTCATCAGTTTAACTACAGCTGTCAAGAAAAAGCTGGGAACTCCAGTGAAATCAGCCTGCAGTGGAATCATGCACCACGAAAACCCACGACTGGGCTTAACTGTGTTTCCAGTCCTAAACAAGTTCAATATGTTCTAAATCTTGCACTAAGAACATCTTTAGTTGAAAGACATGGAATTTTTTCTCTGGTTTTCAGCAGTTCTTGTCCATCTTAAGTGCGTGGCCTGGCCCCAGCAGCAGTTTTCTGCTGCTCTCTTTCATTCAGAGGTGGGTTTACTCCTGCCAAGTATTGCAGCCCTCCACTGGACCAGAGGAAAATTCTGATTTTTGGGAAAACATTGTTCAGAATACCTGAGCACCAGTAAGCTTCAATCCCAGGTGTGAGGGCTGATGGATTTAAGCTACCAAACAGCAAGAACATCGGAATGAAGGAAGGCCCCAAAGCTGGAGAATTTCTTCCCAGCAGGAAGATGCTTTGCTTGTTTCCTGGCTAACAGGGGCAGAATCCAAGGCTCAACTCCTAGGCTGAAACAAAATACATTCACAGCATTTTTGGAGTTTTAGGTGAGGAATATCCCAAGTTGTCCAGATCCTCAGCACCAATATCTCTTGAAGTTTGAGTGGTTTTTGTGTTCTGATCTAGCCATGAATTTGTTTTATCTTTTTGATCTTTGGTCAGAGTTTTTACAGTCTTTAACTTTTGTTTTAACTTGCTTTTGCTTTCACTTCCCTAGTGCTTTTGTAATTCTACCATAAAATTATCTGAAGAAAGGTGCCATTATCATATAAGATGCATTAGGAGCCCTATCAAAAGTCAATTTATCAATGGAAATTCTATTGATTCCACTGACTCAGGCCCTCAAAGCCTAATTGTATCTTTGTAGGCACCTTTATTCCAAAGTTTTTAACTTACATGAGAGCTGCCATTCCAGCCAGTAAGGCTGCAGCATTATTGATTCTGATGGGCCATCAAAATACTGAATAAAAAATGATGGAATGAGTCTGTGGTGAAAATGCCTGAAGTGCTCACAGAAATGCTCTTCCTCTTCATGGCAAATTAACATTCATCACCTTAATGTGGAGCGTCTTCCTATGCAATTTTACTATCTGAAGGACAATTGAAATCCCTCGTGCAAGCATCTTTCTGCTGCTGAAGAGCTTTTGTAATTACGGAACATATAATAACCCACGGTGAGGCTTATCCCAGGGAGACACTTCGCTTATCTACACGGCACTGGAGCAAACATCCCGCAGCATTTCCCTCTGAAGAGTTGCTCAGTGGTACAAAGCACCACTTTTTCTCTCCCCCACAGAGGGAATTTGCTGCCTGGCCGCCCTGGGGACCAGGCTCTGAGAGGCAGAGCTCAGCGCTGGGAACCTTCTCAGCCTGACTTTGGGAAGCTCCCGCAGCCCTCAGCTGCAAGAGCATCTCCAGGGGCTCCGTGGGCTCTGACTGCACCCTTCTACCACCCGTGCTGGATCTTTTAACCTTCATGAAACACTTAAGAACAGGAGGCAGCAAAATAAAAATTATTTTACCCATTACACACCAAATATATACAGGCATATAATCGAGAAACCAAGAAAAGGCATCTTGTTCCTGCTTTCCCTGCTGGCAAACTGTCTTCCCGGGGTTTTAATTTCACTTAGCACCATCACCAGCGTCCTTCTGCCAGGACTGACTGGTGACCTGACCACTTTCAGCACACTGGATCCTCATCTCCCCTGATTTCTCAGGGGAACCACATTAGAAATCTTTTCTGTACTTTCGTAACTTTGGTTGTAGATTCCAGGTTACCTACATTAGCTCTGAGGCACTATAAATACTTCACATATAATTGTTCCAATAAAGCACTGGTAACTCGTAAGTGACTTACACATTTTTAAATCAATTTTTAAAAGATAAAATGGGTCCTTTCTTGCTGGCAGTGTATGTGGGGAAGCTATAAATATCTCAGCTATGAAAGGGACAGGAGATTAAAGCCAAAGAGAAAGAAAGGGGAATTCTGTGGGAGTTTAGTTCCCATTTCTGTGGGTCCAAGAGATGCAGCTGGTTAGAACAGAGCACTCCCAGCTTCATCCTCAGAGTTACATTGAATCTGCCCATTTGATCCTCAGAATACACAGAAGAGGAGCCTTTTTCGGCTCAAATTATCTGAAGGACCATGAGTGAGAAGTAAAATCCCCTTTTGCAGAGGTTTTGCTTTTTCCTGTCCATGAGTCCTTGGAACTCTACTAGTCCCTGAAGGAAGTGAAAGAAAACTGGGAGAGAGAGGGGGGGACTGGATTTATAATTCCGACCTGCACAACCTAAGCTGAGTCAAAAAAAGATGAAGTAACCAGTTTGTCTAGCATGTAGAATTCCAGAACATAGAAAGAATCCCCCTTTTCGGTCTGCTTGGATTTTGGTAACTGCTAACCAGCCTGTTTAGGCTGGAAAGCAATTGGCTGGACTCAAAATCTAATGTACTGTTGACAGTGTCTGGAGCTCTCATAGAAAACAGACACACTCTAATTCTTACAAGCATATATTTAGCTATATCCATATTTCTAATTTTAATTACCATAATTTCTGCGTGTAATTTAAAAAGAACTGGTTCGCAGCAGACCGGCACCCTGCTGATGACATTTAGAAGACCTGGTACACAAAATAGAATCATTTGCCTCCTGACTGAAAAAAGTATCTGTGGAGAAAAGGATCTGCTTTCTTTAGATAACTATGGGGACAATGAAAGAGTCAAGGAAATTGGAGAGGAAAGGCTGAGCACGAGCCCCTGTCCCCTCCCAGCACTCCTGAGCCGCTGGGTCCCTCCCGACCTGCGCTGGCTCTGCTGCAGCCGCTCCGGGGGCACCGCGGCCTCACCCCAAAACACCCTGACAGCTGAGGCTGGCCTCACCCCAAAAACACCCAAAACACCCTGACAGCCGAGGCTGGCCTCACCAAAAACACCCTGACAGCTGAGGCTGGCCTCACCCAAAACACCCTGACAGCCGAGGCTGCCCTCACCCAAACTCACCCAAAACACCCTGACAGCCGAGGCTGCCCTCACCAAAAACACCCTGACAGCCGAGGCTGGCCTCACCAAAAACACCCTGACAGCCGAGGCTGGCCCAGGACAGCCCAGGAGGGAGACTCGGCACAGAACAGCAATGACTGCTCACCCAAAGGGCCCAGAAACAAAGCATGGCTTCTTACCACTGCAGCTCCCATGGCAATGCCACACTGATCAATGTCTCTTCACCATCTCAAGAGAGCAGAGACAAACCAAAAATCTCAGTGTTTTCCCTTTCTAGAAGCAGACAGGGCTGCTCTGAAATCGGACCGATAAACGTACTGCAAGTTTCTTGATGAGACACTGCTAACGGGAGAGAAGAGCCTGGAGATCGTTCCTTCTTCCCTCTCCTGTCCTTGTTGGGTCAGGCTCAGGCAGCAAAGAGACCTTTGTTTTAAAGCAAAATACGTCAGCCAAAGCCTCCGTGTCTTCTGTCAGTCACACATTCCTTCCCCTTCGCAGCAACACCAGAAAATAAAACTTTCTGCAGAACACTCACTCCCTCAGTCTGCTGGGGAGATTTAGGAGCAAAAGCAACAGGCTTAGGATAAATGCATGCAAACTTCTCCCCTCCCTCGCTCCCAGCGAGCCCCGAGAGCCCCATCTTGGCGGCTCGCAGCGCTGCCTTACCTGGAAGGGAAGGACACGGCGCCCAGAAGCAGGGCTAAATCTGGGGAAGGGAAGGAAGGGGGAGCAGGCGCTCCTCGGGATAAAAGGTGAGCTGTGCTGCCTGCCTCTCGACTCCCTCTCTAAATTGCAGTCAGAAGCAATCAGCGAATGTGATCATCATTGTGAAAGTATATATAGAGAGATGACTAAACAGCTTCTCCTCGTCGCTGCCGAGGCTCTCGCTGCCTCTCGCCTGAGCTCGCTCCGCGCTGCGCCCTCCCCTTCCAGCGGCGCTCGCAGCTTCGCCCTCGCTGCCCAGCCCGGCTGGGCACGGCCCCGGCCCCGGGACCCGCCGGGGCGGCCGCGCCGGGCCGAGGCTCGGGAGGCTCCGGGGAGCGGAGCGCGGCTGGAGGAGGGCGGTGTGCGCTGACGGAGCGAATGGAGTGGTTAAATACGCGCCAGAGCCGACCCTGCATGCTAATGTGCCAAGGGGGAGATGCAGGGGGGAAAGCACGGGATGAACTTGGCGGCTCTGTCGCGGAGCTCCCTGTGTGCCCCTCCTGGCTCCCGGGCAGACAGGGCAGGAAGGATTCCTTCTGGACAAGAAAACGACCTATTCCTCCAGCACCACAAACCTCCACCCAACACCTTGGCCAGGGCGGGAGGCTACATTCAGGAAGAAAAAGAAAGCATTTGGATTTAAACCGATCTTTCCCTGCCTTCTCCCTTCTTCCTTCCCAGCACCCTTCCCTTTCCCCCTCGTCCTGCCGCTCTGGCTTGCCCTGCTCCTGGGCAGCTCTTACCAGTCCTGTCTCCACACCGCCTCAGCATCCCTTTCATCCCCGCTCAGAAGTTGGGCTCGGCACGCTCCGAGACCCGACAGCCTCGCTCATTTTACCCGTTCGCTGTCGAGTCTCCATTAAGTAAATAACCACGAGCCCGAATCAGGGCGATCAGCCTTGCCCAGCTCTGCCGGGCAGCTCCCGGCGGTGCCTGACGCGCCGCAGCGATAGTTGATGACTTCCATAAAGTCACAGCAATACGCACAGGAGCGAGCGGGGCTCGGCTGCCTCGCCATCGCCTCCTCGGCGGCTCGGCACCGCACCTAGCGCCGGCAGCGCGGGGCTGGCCCCGACCGTGCGGGGCTGCCACGGGCCGTGCGGCGCTGGCCCCGACCGTGCGGGGCTGGCCCCGACCGTGCGGGGCTGCCACGGGCCGTGCGGGGCTGCCACGGGCCGTGCGGGGCTGCCACGGGCCGTGCGGGGCTGGTCCCGACCGTGCGGGGCTGGCCCCGACCGTGCGGGGAGCAGCTCCGGAGAGCGGGGCGCGGGATGGGAGCGGCCGGGGGCACCCGCTGACCCCGCCGCCCTCGCCCCGCCCGCAGGTGAACCCCCGGGGCCGGTGCCCCCCATCCCCGGGCCGGTGCCCCCTCCATCCCCGGGCCGGTGCCCCCCATCCCCGGGCCGGTGCCCCCCATCCCCGGGGCCGCTCCCTTTCCGCCCCCCGCCCTCCCGGCGGACCCCCTCACCTCCGCAGGGCGCTCCCGGCCGCGGCCGCCCGCCCGGTGCCTCCGCGGCCATGCGGCTGCCGGGAGCGGAGCGCGGGGCTGCGCGGAGTGCGCGGAGTGCGCGGGCGCGGGGCGGCGGCGGAGGCCGGCGGGGAGCGGTGGGGAGCGGTGGCAGCGATGGCAGCGATGGGAGGACGGGAGCGATGGGAGCGGTCGGCACCGCGCGGCGGCGAGCGGAGGGAGGAGAGCGGCGGGGCCGGGGCCAGCCCCGCGCGGAGGGGCGGCGGCGCGGGGCGGGGGGCGGCGGGGGCTCCCCGCGCTCGGCCGCGTCCCCGCCCGCCGCCCGCCCGCACAGCCGCCGGCAGGTGTCACCCGGAGCGAGCGGGCGGGCTCCCGGGCGGAGCGGGAGCGGGAGCGGGAGCGGGAGCGGGGAGCGGTGCGGGACCCCCGGGCGGAGCGGGGAGCGGGGAGCGGTGCGGGACCCCCGGGCGGAGCGGGGAGCGGGGAGCGGTGCGGGACCCCCGGGGCAGCACGGGGCAGGGGTGGCCGGTGGCCGCAGCACCCCCGCAGTGAGCCCCGCAGAGTCCCCGGGCCGGGGAAGGGCGGTGTAAGGAGGGGTGCGGGGGCTGCAGGGGTTGCATTGGCAGGTGCAGGAGCTGCTCCTCCAGATGCATCACTGTGAGCAAGGGCTGTGTGCTGCGGGGTCCGATGTGCCTCTGGTACCTTAAAATAAGGAAAACAGGGACTCGGTACAGCCAGCAATGACCAGGGGCTGTTTTCCAGGTGCCTTTTTTCTACCCAGAGCTCTAAACCCAAGACCTTCTTAAAGAAAAAAAAAAAAAAATATATATATATATATATATATATATATATATAAAGGAAAGACCTCAAAATCCTGAAGATTTCAACAAACCAACGATCCAGTTCTAGAAACTCTGAAACCAGGACCCTGATCATGGAATTATTCAGCTTGGAAAGGACCTCCAAGATCACGAAGTGCAGCCTGTGACTGGATCCTACCATGCCCACGAAACCAGACCACAAAGTGCCACATCAACAACTTCTGGAACACTTCCAGGGATGGTGACTCCACCACTTCCCTGGGCAGCCTGTTCCAGTGCTTAACCACACTTTCAGTGGTGACATTTTTCCTAAGATGAACCGAACCTCAACCTGATCCATCTAATTCAGGGTCTAATTTCTGATAATTCAATGTCATTATTAAAAAATAACACTGATTTCTAATAACATTTGTAACCTGCATTAGTGCAGCAGAGTAGCTAACGAGTTCATGCACACACAGTGTATCATCTTTAGGTTTTGGATATTAAGAGCTGTGTGCTGGACACTTGAATAGTTTTGTGCAAAGTGAATCTTAAAACTTCTGTGAGAAACTTCCAGAGGCTGTAAGAATTTGAACATATCAAAGCATCCTGAATCCATCTTTATTAGATGTCTTCAGAGCTGCTCCCCACTTTCAAACCCTCCCTGTATCTCCACTTGCTCTTTCCCTCTGCAGATGCTGAGAAGAAAGCAGAACCAGAAATGTCATTTGGCTTTTGCTGGTATAAGAGATTTTTCTGTGATTTACAGTGTCACCACTTCATAAAACTTCCTGACTCCTCTCTCTCTGGGGCGTGCTCTGGCCTCACTCTCTGCTGGAGCTGCCCTGGCTGTGATTCTGAATCGCTTTTCCCCCATGACTCGGCCCCTTTTAACTTCCCATCTCTATTAAAAAGCTAATTTGGGAACTCTTTTTCAATGCTCCCAATTTTGTATTTTTAAATAGAATATGAAAGTCAAAAGCAAGCTTGCTGCAGATAGTCTGAAGTGAAAATATTCCTTCTGTCTTGTTTTTTTTCATCAATATATTTTCTCTGTTTCTTTCTCTCTCTTCTCTCTTTAACTCTCTCTTATTTCCATCTTTTCTTTTTGCTCTCTCATTCTGCCTTTCCCCTTCTCTCTCTTTTCTAGGAAAAACTCCTTAGGTTCTACTGCCCCACTTAGAGCTTTTATTAGAACTTTTTGAACAACTTTTTTTTCATTCTACTACTAAGAAGTAGAACCTGCTGGTGTCAAAACACCAGAGAAATTATGGAATGAACTATTGTGGTTAAATATCAATATTAAATATAGTTCATTAATTTTTTCCCCTTACATTTTTTTCTGTGTTTATATCCTGCGCCTCTGCAGTGTATTTTATTTATTGTGTTTGTTCTCTACATTGGGTGCTAGTCTGCATGCATTCTGCATCTGAAAGCCATTCGCTGCGTGGCTGTGCTGCAGTTCTGCAGGGACACAGGAGCACAGCCTGCCTGCCTCAGATCCCAGCTCGCATAGCACCAGAGCTTTGGAGTCTGATTATGTCCCGTAGCTCGTGCCAGCAGCTCCCTTGCTGGGCTCCAGGCTGGTGAAAACACCTGCACGGATTAAAGAAAGGTCATTAACAGGATTATGTGAAGGAGCCAGTCTTTGTAACCTTAAAATTAAATATGTTTAGTTAAATAGGTTTAGTGCCCTCGTGCCACAGGTCTGGCAAAGTCAGGAGTCCAAGCCCCTTCCTCGTGTGTGTTCTGTGCAGAAAATGCAGTGTCTGCTTTAGGGGTGGAATCAGTCTTCACTAGGACAAACCTGAGTTTTCTTTGAGACGGAAAAAAACTGCCAAGAATTGGATTTGGATCAAATTTTTGTTGGCTTTCTTACAAGAAAAACCAAAATATTGACAATGGAAGTGTCCTTAAGAAATTATCTTTCCTAATAAGGTTCTGCCTTAGTTTTATTGCAAGACCAATATGGGCAATATTTTATAGAGGTGTATGAACAATTAAATCCCAAATTCTCTTAGCATCCCACAGGAGCTTTCAAGGGGACCTTGTTGTTGTCTTCAAAGCCCTGGAAGGGAACTGTGGCTCCTTGTCCAGCCCCTTTTGGAGCAGGATCCAGGCAGGGAGCCTGAAGGGTTGGGGATGTGTTTGGGGTGCCCGGGGAGCAGTGCAGGATGCCCAGGGCTGCTGGTTGTGTCCCTGTGGGCTCCCAGCCCCGTCCCTCACCCCAGGGTGCTGGAGCCCATGGACAGCCCATCCCAGCCTGGCTCTGCAGCCCTGCCCTGCCCTGGCCTTCGAGGCCATCTCTGATTTACATCGTGCTCACTCGTTTCCCCCTCTGCATCTGGAGGTTTTCCAGCCCAAAATGAACACAGGCAGCTGCATTCTGCCACTTTTTCCTAAAAGGAGAGAGGAAGGAGCCGTGGACAGGCTCCAGCAGCAGCGAGAGGCACCCAGCAGCTGCAGCGTTTTCTGCTCTTAATGAATCTGCTGCTGTTAATGAATCAGGACAGGGTCACACGTGGGGAGCAGAGCCTTGAAGGGCAGAGTGACACCGAGTCAGGGCTGGGACTGATTGTCCTCTGTCCTCTGTCCCCTCCCATGCACCCCATGGCCCGGGCCCCTTTCCCGGGCAGTTTTGGTGTCTGGCAGCCCGGGCAGGATTTACACATTGCTCTGCAGCAGGTTCCTTTTGCAAGATCTGCTTCCAGCCAGTTGGGAATTCTGGTAATTATGAGGCAGCCCAGGCTAAAAAGCTCCGAAGTGAGCAGAGCACAAGGCAAGAGTTCTGCTTTGATCTCACGCTCCGTGATAACCTGTCACCATCAAAGCCATCATCCTCACCTGCTGCAAGGGCAGAGCCCAATTAAAGAATAGCAGAAACCCCCCAACAAAGCCCCAGCCAACCCCAAATAAGTGATCAATGTGAAGTGATCAGCTTTGGAATGATCACCGGAGCTC